TGAGTCAATGGCCTCATTTTTCCTTAATCAGATTTCTTCTATTTTAAGATCTTAAAGTCCTTTTTCTCCTCTTTTTCCCCATCATTGATTTCTTCTGCTCCCCTAACATCTTTATCTTCCTCCTCTTCTGCCCTCACTGTCATCGTAGTTCAGGGTACACAGCTCTATCACCTTCTTCTATTTCCTTGTCCTTGCCACCAGCAATGTTTACCAATCTTCGTATTTTAGCACAGTTTTATTTCTGTTGCCTCTATTTCGGGATGGGAATGAAAAGATAAGGGAGGCTGCCTGCTTCCCTGACCTTGAAAACAATGAATATTCAGCATGATGAGTTTAAAAACGATTGCATGGGGGGACTTTGACGCATACATGAAGACTACACGAGAGAAGGAATTGAATCTATTGCATCCTGAGTCCGTTGTCCTGAACGAGCATGTGCCAAACACACGTGAATAGTTCCAAGTGTTGTTCTTTCTAGAGGTGAATAGGAACATGACAGTTTTCCTGGTCATCCTGCCACGTATTCAGTAGGCACACGTAGACAGTAGTTTCTAGGGCCACCAATTTGTCATTTTTCCCAGCATGTTGCAGGAGCAGAAAAAAATTCATGTGCGTCTGCCCACATCTGTTTCAGTAAATGAGTAGCCTCTGCTCAGAATATAACATATTCCTATTAGGTAGCATATTTGGTGAGGTTATCACCGTGTACTATTTTAGACATTCAAACAGAGTAACTTTTTAAATTTCATAATTTCAATGAAATGTCTGTGTAATAACTAGATAATAGTTTACTTAATTGACTGTGATTGGAATCTGAGCTAGATGTAAATTTTCTCCTAAAGTGGTAAAGTTTTGTATTTTCTGCTCTTAACATTTTCATTATCATATCTATTGATAATTTCTGTGTACAGACACAAAAGCATTGATTTTGATAATTTTCCCTTAAATAAAAACAGTAATCTTGGTTGATTAGGTTGCAAATACATGTTGTCTTAATTTGCCAGAATCAAACCAAATGCCATCATCTCCTGATGAGCTAGATAACTATGATGTTCTGTTTGAATCTCTGCTCTTCACACTTTATTATAGATTGTCCTCCAGAAGACAGATCTGATTAGGGTCTGTGGTATTAATATTATTAGAAGTAGCATGCATTAAATGATAATGATAATTGACCCTCAGGTGGGTATCCTCTAGCTGTATGACTCTCCAAGATACTGCATGTTCAGAGCATTAAAGGGCGTCTTCAGCCCGGTGGCGCAGTGGTTAAGTTCGCACGCTCCGCTTCAGTGGCC